TAGTTCTACATCAGACGATGATATTTTTATTTACGGGCGATATTCACGAAAAGAGAACCATTGGGTCGGAATATTGGACCCATGCGAAAAAAAATGTTGAGTTGGAGTATTCCAACCGCAACTTTCTCTCTTCGTGAGTATCGCCCGTAGATAAATTATACAGCATTCGATGCAGAATCTACTTCTACACCAAATGATGTATCACTCATCTTCGGGAGATATTCTCGAAGAGAGAAAATAGCCGTTGAAATACCACAGCAGCATATTTTTTTTCCATTATATGGATTTTCGGATCCAATGGTTCTCTCTTCATGAATATCTCCAGTCAATGAGTTATATATCATTGGATGCAGAATTCAATTCTACATCAAAGGTTGTAATAGTCATCTTCGGAAGATATTCCCGAAGAGAGAAAATAGCCGTTAAAATACCGGAACGGGACATTTTTTTTTCCATTATATGGATTTTCGGGTCCAATGGTTCTCTCTTCATGAATATCGCCCGTAAACAAAAATATCATCATCTGATGTAGAATTAAATTCTGCATCGAATGATCTATAGTTCATCTACGGGCGATACTCACCAAAGGAGAAAGTTGGGGTTGAAATACTGCAACTCAACATTTTTTTAACCATGAGTCCAATATTCGGACCCAATGGTTCTCTCTTGGTGAGTATCGCCCGTAAATAAAAATATCATCATGTGATGTAGAATTAAATTCTGCATCGAATGATGTATAGTTTATCTACGGACGATACTTACCAAGGGAGAAACGTGGGGTTGGGATAGTCTAACTGAGCATTTTTTTTAACAATGGGTCCAATATTCAGACCCAATCGTTCTCTTTTCGTGGATATCGTCCGTATATAAAAATATCATCATCTGAGGTAGAATTAAATTCTGGATCGAATGATGTATAATTTATCTACGGGCGATACTCACGAAGGGAGAAAGGTGGGATTGACATACTTCAACTGTACATTTTTTTTACCATGGGTTCAAGATTCGGACCGAATGGGTCTCTCTTCGTGAGTATCGCCCGTCAATAAAAAGGGTGCGAGTGCGGGTAGTTCGGATGCTCTTCACAGCCACCTACACCCATACCCACACTCACATCCCACAGTCACACCCCACATCCACACCCACCCACAGCCGGAACTAGACTTAGATGCTAAAATAATAAATTTCATTTTGTGAGAAATAGAAGATTATTTTAAAATTGATAGTATGAGTAAAATATGAAACATAAAAAAAACTATTGGGAATAGAAATATTTTATTTGAAAAAGAAGCTATGTCTTACGAGTAACTTTGCTTAAAAGCTGACAACGAAAACATTGATTAAAAGGTCTACAATGAATGTTTTGATAGAGAAGAAATAGTGTGTGGGTGTAGGTGTGTGATATTTCTTGATCTACACCCACACCCATCTACAAATCATTACAATCAGTTTTAAAACATGTCATAACCATTTGTAGATAAACTTTTAATTTGTTGTTTTAAATAACAGCAGCTTAATGCAGAATAATACATATTTGTTTGATGAGTTCTATTTTTTATCAAAGTAAAAAGAATGCTGCAATATGAATAAGAAAGATTTGTTACCTCCCCCCCTCCCCATATTAAAAGACCCAGGGTCTTGTATTATGTTTAAGCGGAGAATTTTTTCAGGGGGGTCTTGTATTATGACTCTCGCATTTTTGGGATTTTTTCGACACTCACAATTATTTTCGAAGAATTTAGTAAATGCAAGTTTAAGTTCAAGTTTTACGGCTCCTCAATTTTTATTATAGTAACCAGATGCTGGAAAAAACATCACTGTATATCTTCCCACAGCAACAAATATTAGGAAGTAATTAATATCAACGGCTATCTTATTTTATAATCTGTACTTTCTAGTTTCTCTTCTAAATATTATGTTTTTAAGTTTCGTAAAACTCACATATATTTTCGAAGGAACTAACAGTGATCGTAGGTTTGAGTCAAGATTTTTCAGCTTTTCCCCTCTTCCCCATTACATGTCGTAGCAATCATTTAGATTTAATATCTTTGGAATAAAAAAATGAAAACAAATGGTGGCTCTCATGTAAAAAAAATTTTAAAAAATGGCGTTTTTCATGATGAAAACGATATAATCATGCATGTTTCTTATTTTCATTGATTAAAATCAAAAGTTTTACCACTCTCGTTTCATGATTTTGGTTTCTAACCATTTTCATTATAATGATCTTGATTAGAAATCAAAATCATGAAATGTAATTCGTGAAACTTTCATTTTAAACGATGAAAATATAAAACATGCATGATTATATCCCTTTCATTATGAAGTATGGCATTTTTTTCGTTTTTTTATTCCCTGGGAAGGTTGTGAAAACTTCTACAATCATTGCTTTTCAATAGTTCGAATATTTTTATGAGCATTCGCAAAAAGCTAGCGTCCCTTTTTTGCTCAGATAAAAGTTTATATGATCCATTTGAAAGATAATCTTTTGTGATTTTTCATAACGATAGTATAAGTTGTATAAAATCGTGATCAAACTACTTTCTAACTTTTAGAAATATTTATTTTGTGTCTTATTCAATACATTAGTATGCACACAAGATTGCTAGAATATGGTGAAGATAGAACCAATGTCTATACTAAGATTATTTAATCATTAAATTAGAGCCTGAATAGAATAATACGAAATAATGATAATTTCGATTAACAGAAGAATAACACATTACGAATAGCAACAGGAAAAGAAACGCATTAGAAAAAAAATATGTTGGAAATGTACGAGTAGAAGCTGCTAGAAATTAATCATTATGACCAATGTTTTTTTTGAAGTTTAAAATTCTGCGTCACTTGTCTTAATATTATAAATATATTCAGAAAATCTGATAACTGGAATGAAGGACAGATAGGAATTTGAAATGAAATAGTTTCGTCGGAATAATGTTTTGCAGCGTATGCTTTAATTCAAACGATAGAATTAGTTATAATATATCCATTTATTTGATATGTTTTGAAAATAAACTTTTTCACCCATTTTTGAGAATATAATATAGATTTGTAGAAGTCTGAGTCTAATGAGTACTACACTTTGGCTCAACAGTGACTACACTGATAAGTTTTTGTAATTAAAAAAGTCCTCGGAGAGAATCGAAGCGATTTTGAAAATTGGAGAAAGGATTTTCACGATTTTCAAAGCTGAAATATAGATTTTAACTCATCAATTTGAAAATTTTCAGCTGAAAACCTCCAGAAATAGACAGGTTTCGGCATAAAACATTAATAAAAATCCTCAATTTAAAAAAAATCTTAAATAAATAGGGGGTCTTCTATTATGTGGGGCACGATTTTTTCCCAAAGGGGTCTTCTATTATGGGGGGAGGGTTATATTACACTAAGTATGTGATAGTCATTTGTTTGATTTTACAATAAAGATATGCTACGAGCATGAAACTAAAATTTTGTATAAACAAAATTCTACCATGAATCTCTTGCTTTTATAAACAGCTATTTATTACACGAGACATGCAAGTGTTTATAAAGTGAATATGTTAGTTAGATTTTAATTGATTATCTGACTGGCAGAAGATAGTCGTGTTATTTTTAAAAAAGATAAAAGAAAGAAGAGAGATCTATCGGACCAATCGTTTTGAAAGAAAAAAAAGAGAAAAAAAAGAACAATTCCTCTTATAAAAATAACAGTATCTTGAATGTTTACTCATTCAATTTAACTTTTCAATTCTAGTAATATCTTCAGTATAGTGAGAAATATAACATACAATTAAAGAATAGACGAGTTACTTTTCTTCAAATAAAGAGATCTATCATTATTCTTGAGCTATATCAAGTTACTCTAAACCCTTTTCCTCTATCAATTTCACCTGCGCATCGGTAAGTATATACAAAGTCTAGTCTTTGACTAGCAACACGATTCGCAGTATGGCGAGCACGATTCGCAGTATGGCGACCACGATTCGCAGTTTGGCGACCACGAGCGGTTCGAATGAGCTGCAATACGATTTGTCTATGTGACAGAGAGTCATATACAGATATAAAGAGCATAATAATTTGTAACTTAGATAATTGAAAATGTTAGAAATCGCGTATTTATTCATTTCGTTGAGTGTACTGTCATCATCTAAATCTATGGAAAGCGAACTTCATTTCTCAAAAGAATTTTTTTTCTAGTAATATATAAAACAAGTGATAAGACTACAGCGATCGGATATGTAGGGAGCCTAAGATTTAAGATAAGGAAGTATTTCAAAGAACAAAATCATATTTCTTGCAACTTCTGAGCCTACAAATAGCATAGATAAGGAAGAAGATAAAATTGTGAAAAATAAAATATTACTTTAAAGTTGATAGTATGAATAGAATATGAAAAATAAAAAAAAATATTGACTATAGAAATATTTCAATTCAAAAGAGAAGGTATATCTGGCAAGTGACTTTGTTTAAAATTCGAAAACGAAAATATTGATTAAAAGATTTACAACGAATTTTTTGGTAGAGAAGAAATATCAAAGTACCTAGAGTAAAAAAAATCTTTTTGTAATGAAAAAAAGAGATTCAATCGTTTTTTCATATCACGGATAACAAATCGAGTAAAGTCTGGTGATATTCAATATCACTAGGAGACAATATTTGCTTCACGTAGAGAAAAAGTAA